CCCAGAACTGGCCTAAGTTCCTCCCCAACCTCCTCATCTTTCAAGTCTGCCGTCAGCTCTACTGGTAACTGCCGGGCCACAACAGTCCTCACTGCATCTTAGTCTATGTGCAGCCCAACATGCAGCTAAACCCACCTATACTTCAATAAAAAAGACCATGTGCGTAGATTTGAAGGCTTTATTTGTAGAACAGGATATGGTGAAACTGAAGGAAATATGAATACATGTGGTGAAAATCAAATATAAGATAGACTGCTGTCTGCTGAACGTAACAATTAATAAATATATGCAGTTTGAATCTCAAGAGCCATGGTGTAGGGGGCGGGGAATGTTAGTTCGTTTTGAATGACCATGTGCCACAGATTAAATTGGCTGCTTCTGCCTTCTCTAAATGCCAAAGGAAATGGAGTCTGGCTTCCCAGCATACACTTGGTTTGAGAGCAGGATGTAAATGGGCAAAGTGAGCTTCAGACAACATAGTTGGGGAATAACGGTCTCTCTGGCCACTAGGTGGGGATAGGGAGCAGCAACAATATAAAGTTATATGATATGTGGTATTGTCAATGAGCATAAATACGTTGAAGAATATTAGCTAAAATGGCAAAGGAGCCTCAAATTTCTGCACTAGAGAAAAAAATGGGCTGGTAGAGAAAGAATTGTGACCACTCCCTCAATCTCTGGAGCTTCTTACATCCCGCAGGGAGATGAACATAGGTTTGAATTTCATGAATTATTTCAGAGAGGAAACAGAAGCATTTTCCTCAAGAAGAAAGGCATCATCCTATGATAAGTGAGGTCACTGATCCACCATCAGCAATTTTCAAATTCCAGTGCTTATACTTTTTCTACTGTGTAGCTAAATGGAAGGTAAATAAGATTCCAATACAAACCAAAGATCTTTGCACATTCCATGAATTAATAAGCTTCTGGCCACATCTGGATCCTTGGTTGATGATTGGCTATTGAGAATAAACCTCAATCCAGGGATTTTATTTATTTTTCCTGTGTGAATCCTTTTATGAGAAGAAAGCACACTCAGTGATGGTGGCTCCACTCCTCATGTACTTCAAATTTTCTCTTCTGTGTATGCCATTGTGATAATCAAAGGTGCTGAAGACATTAAAGCACTTTTAACACTTGGCACTCAGCACTTTAGAAGAAAAAACTGGCAGAGACCAGTGGCTCCTCAGTGTGTATTCTTTCAGGACAATTATGTTTTTCTTTCTCAGTAAAGGTTTTTCCATAGTGCTTGTATTTACATGGTCTCTCTCCAGTGTGAATCCTTTCATGACGATTAAGATGTCCTTTTCGTGTATAGGTCTTTCCACATTCTAGGCATTTATATTCTCACTCTCTCTGGTTGGATCCTCCTGAAATGCAGTTCCTGAGAAGGGCTGGATGGATCTCCTCTTTCGTGAAGTTCTGTGGAGATCACCCCCATGAATGGCTACTGCACCTGATAGAAGACTATGGTTAATGATCCACTTTCAGAAAACCAGAACCATATTAGTTTGCTTGCCTTACTTTTTGGGGCTGCAAACACGGGAAGCCTCGCCCTTGAAGTTTGCAGGATGG